TTACACTAACAAAATAATTTAAAACTATATTATTTGATATTGTTAATAATCTAAATTTGAGTTGGTTGAATTAACAATGTCTAAATTGAAGATCTTGAATAGGAGTAGCCTCTGTTTTACTGAATTATGTATCCCAATGACCAATGTATTTTTGTGGAGTTATAACTTATAAAATAATTATAATTAATAATTAATTAGAACAATAAAATGAATTTTAATTTTCCCCCTTTATTTGGAGGTTCACTGTCATTTGGGACACGGATTCTCTCTTCCCTTCTTTGCCCTTTATAGCCATTAGATCAAGGTTTAGATTTTTCCAATTTGATTTCCTATAAAACTATTATTAAAATATTAAATTATAAAAAAATAAATAATAAAATTTAAACTGCTAAAATTTAATAAAAAAATTAAAAGTACAATAAAAGTAAAGTAAAATAAAATAAAATAAAATAAAATAAAATATTGTAAAAGAGATCAAATCTTAATCTAATGATTAGAAATTAAAAAAAAAAAAGGAGGGAAAGAGGATTGAAAGGAAGATGAGAGAATCTTCTTTCCTATCGTTTGGTACTCTATTTTGGGAGAGGATTCTCTACTCTTTCTTTCCATTCTCTTCCCCTCCTTTTCTCAATTTCAAACCATCAAATCAAGATTTTAAATAATTCAGATTTGATCTTTTTCAAAATATTTTACTTTATTTTACTTTTACTGCATTTTTAATGTTGTTTTTAAATTTTAGTCATTTGAATTTTATTATTTATATTTTTATTAATTTAATATTTTAATAATAATTGTATAAGAGATTAAATTTGAATAGTTTAAATCTTAATGTAATGGCTAGCAAGGGAAAAAAATGGAAGAGGATGAGAAGCAAGAGGAAAGAATCCATATCCTGACATTTTTTGCTAATTGTTTTGGTCTTTCAAGCCCCAATGTTATTTGTATTAAAGTTTGTTTGAGGAGGGGGCAAAATGATTTTATGTATCTAGATCATTAAAACTTGAATGAATCTTGTATTATCACCATTATTATTTGGAAACCGTTCATGCACGAAGCAGAACCTGACAAATAATTAGATTTATTATTGTGACTTGTTCCTATCCACGTAATCATCTCCCATCCAATGTAGGGGTCGTTGGAGAGAAAAAGAAAAGATTTTTTTTAAAAAAAAAGGAAGGAAAGAAAATCCACACAATCTCGCTGATTGTTAGATTTATTTTTATGACTTATTCCTGTCCACATGATCATCTCACGCGCGAATGAGGAGTCCACCTCACAATGAACATCCGATTAATGATCTTAACAATATTTTTATGAACTAATATTGCTGAAATCAATATATCTACATATATTTAAATCCTACTATTTCTCAGTAGTTAGTAGAATCAGTACTCCTAAATTCACCCGTGTATGTATTATTAAATTTTAATTTTTTAATTCATAAGTCAGAAAAGCCCGGGGAGCGACCAACAAATCAAGAGTTCATTCACACAACCACCACTGGGCCATCCAATAATGGAGCGTGGGCCAAAAAATGCCCATTTGCCGTAAAATATCACTCGCCTGTGGGCCCCAATGATAAAGAATAGCCTCTGTCCTCCTAAAGATAACGTCGTTACCACGGTAACCCGACGGAGAATGCAATGAATATATTCCGAACGTTGCCGCCTCTGTAGCCACTTGTGACACGTCATGGGACACGCGTTAGGAAATGATTGGCCCAATGGTCACGCTTCGACGTTGCCGTAACGAAGCCGTTCACCTCTTTTTGTTATAAAAGGAGCCTCCTGCCCCTTCTTCTTTCGCATTTCAATTTCATCTACGCTTCTTCTACCAAAAAAGCCTTCCAAGACTCTGTCAAGGTATTCTTCGTTTTCCCTTCTTTCTTTGTTTTCCTTTCTTGTTCTTGATGATAGGCTATTTAATTTAGATTCTTTTCCTCACATTCCTGTGCCTGTTAGGGATGATCTTGTATTTGTTCAGCTTGTGTTGGATCTGTATCGTTTTGCCTTTTTTTTTGTTCCAAATTATTTGACCTACTTATGGATCTGCAAAGAATCGTTTAGATATGGTTTGTTTTCCTTTTTATATAAAGATATTTTAATGAGCCGAATCAAGGTTGATTCGGATTTACCGAGGAGTTCTTTCGGCGTAAGCAGATTGATGCCAAAAGAACTTTTAGGGATTTCCCGATAACCTTTGTTTTTGTTCACATGTTTTATTCGTGAAAAAGACGCGCAGATCTAAAGGCTGGGTATCTGTGTTTATTGTTTCGATTTGAAAGTCCTCGATTGATTAATCATAAGTAGCTTTGGATACCGCATCGTGAGGCGGCTTCTTGTTTGAGTTCTTTTGTGATTGTCTCTGACCGACTTCAAATATTTTATCCGCTGAAAAAGACATTCAGATCTGTTCCTGAAGCTAATAACCTCTTGCGGATTTATTTTTTGTTTCCCCCCATTGAAAAAAGAAAGATTTCGAGTGATTTATCTAGATCAATTCATAATCTTGTTTGCCTTGTTGGAATTTTGCTATCACTGTTTAATCTGTGTTTTTGTATAATGTAGATGCAAATCTTCGTCAAGACCCTCACCGGCAAGACCATCACTCTCGAAGTCGAGAGCTCTGACACCATCGACAATGTCAAGGCCAAGATCCAAGACAAGGAGGGCATCCCCCCAGACCAGCAGAGGCTGATCTTCGCGGGGAAGCAGCTCGAGGACGGTCGTACCCTTGCTGACTACAACATCCAAAAGGAATCCACCCTCCACCTCGTCCTCCGTCTCCGTGGTGGGATGCAAATCTTTGTAAAGACTCTCACCGGCAAGACCATCACTCTTGAGGTCGAGAGCTCCGACACCATCGATAATGTTAAGGCCAAGATCCAAGACAAGGAGGGCATCCCCCCAGACCAGCAGAGGCTGATCTTCGCCGGGAAGCAGCTTGAGGACGGCCGGACCCTTGCCGACTACAACATCCAAAAGGAATCCACCCTCCACCTCGTCCTCCGTCTCCGTGGTGGTATGCAAATCTTTGTTAAGACTCTCACTGGCAAGACCATCACTCTTGAGGTCGAGAGCTCCGACACCATTGATAATGTCAAGGCCAAGATCCAAGATAAGGAGGGCATACCCCCAGACCAGCAGAGGCTGATCTTCGCCGGAAAGCAGCTTGAGGATGGTCGTACCCTAGCCGATTACAACATTCAAAAGGAGTCTACCCTCCACCTTGTCCTCCGTCTTCGTGGTGGCATGCAAATCTTCGTCAAGACCCTCACAGGGAAGACCATAACCTTGGAGGTGGAGAGCTCAGACACCATTGACAACGTGAAGGCGAAAATCCAAGACAAGGAGGGTATCCCACCAGACCAGCAGAGACTCATCTTCGCTGGTAAGCAGCTCGAGGATGGCCGCACCTTGGCCGACTATAATATCCAGAAGGAGTCTACCCTCCACCTTGTCTTGCGTCTCCGTGGTGGCATGCAGATTTTCGTGAAAACCCTGACTGGGAAGACCATCACTCTCGAGGTTGAGAGCTCAGACACCATCGACAACGTTAAGGCTAAGATTCAAGACAAGGAGGGTATTCCCCCAGACCAGCAGAGGTTGATATTTGCTGGAAAGCAGCTGGAAGACGGACGTACACTTGCAGACTACAACATTCAGAAGGAATCGACCCTCCACCTTGTCCTTCGTCTCAGAGGAGGCATGCAGATTTTCGTCAAGACCTTGACCGGCAAGACCATCACTTTGGAGGTGGAGAGTTCGGACACCATTGACAACGTCAAGGCCAAGATTCAGGACAAGGAGGGGATCCCACCAGACCAGCAGAGGCTTATCTTTGCTGGGAAGCAGCTCGAAGACGGAAGGACCCTTGCCGATTACAACATCCAGAAGGAGTCCACCCTTCACCTCGTGCTTCGCCTTCGTGGTGGAAACTGAGCGTCATTGGCCGGATTTTGCCTTTGTTGGTCCCTTTCTGTTGTGTGGTGGTTTATGTGTTCTGAAGAAATTGAAGTGTCGGGGTCCTTTGTTGGCCCCTCAAATAAATTTGTGTGATGTTTTCTATCAGTTTGTTTATATTTCCGTACTCTTAAATGTCTAGTGTCCCCCGCTAATACGGGTTTATAATAAAATGTTTTCTATTAATCCATCTTGGCTGGCTGTGTGTTGATCTGATACCCGTTCAATCGAGCCGGAAAGTGTGGTTTGATTATAAATTGAGAAAGCAGGTAAGGTTACTGGATCTGGAAAGATATCCGTGTGCTGACGTCTGGTCGTTGTTTATGCTGCGTTAACTATATATATCCAAGGCAATGTGGGAGCCAAAAGAGTTAGGCTTCAATACAAGGAAATGTCGATGATACGTGGGAGTGTGTTCTTTGGAATGAAATGGTGGTGGGGATGGCGATTAGCTATGGAACCTGATAAGTTTTTTGGGTAGTATTATATCAACATGAAAAATTGATGTATACACTGTTTATCTCTTCGGCAAAAAATGATGCGAAATGCATTTGTTTTAAGAAAAAGCGCTCCTATGAGATAGGTTTTTCATCTCTTTCATGAACTATTATACCATAACACTATTTTTTCAGCAAGATCAAGTAAATTATATCTGAATTTTTCATAAAATTCATACAGATGATCAATACTTTTCATAATAGACAAAAGCTCTTGAAATAAAATATTTTGCTACACGAGTCTCTAGTTTAAGTTTGAAGTAAATTTTTTACCATTTTTTTAAAAATAAATTATATTTAAATATATTAGAGAAATAGATAAGAAAATTTATACCTATACTAAACTTAGAAAACATGTGTAATTTGACATCTATATCTTGTTAGGAATACCAAATATTTAAAGAGTAATATTTGTATTTGCATTTGGTTGGTTGGTGAACGATCTATGTGTGAATTCATCAAAAACTTGATCACTGAGCATGCCGAAAAGATTATTGGACGCTGGTCAAGGAGAAAAGATAATTGATTATTGGACATTTTTATTTATGTCGAATCCATACATACATACACAGAAGATACCGAGAAAGACTGGCAGATTGCCGATGAGGATTCACTATTGTTAAGTCCTAAAAACCCTCCTTCAGTTTCAGTATGTTTCTGCTTCACTTGATCCTTCTCAATTCTCACCATCCTAGAAACCTGCAAATAACGAAGTTACGAAAGTCCATTTTTCAAACCCAAATAATACAGAAAATCAGAACTGCTTTGATTAAATTAAATGACCTTAGTAGGAACAGTCCTGGGAGGGATCGGCGGGGATGGGAGGAAGGTCCTTGACGCAAGCTTGACGGAGCTGTTCAACCCTCTGGGCAAGGATTGGAGGCTGAAACTTGGCGTCTCTGAAACAATAACACACTGCCTTTCGTGTCTCAGCTGAACTGCACATGGCACTCAGTTGCATGCCAGCGAGGCAGCACCTCGGTGACGGCTCGCCGGAACCTCCACCTTCCAGAAACTCAAAACACGGCACCATCGTGCTCATCGCTTGGCTGCACGCCACGCAAGGCACGTCATTTCCTTGCTTAATTACTGTTCCTGTGCTTCCATGCCACACCAGGGCCATGAAAAGCAAACCCCATGTTGCAGATGAAGCCATCGTCGGTTTCCTGGAATTCCCCTGTTCTTCAGCTCTTAAAACAGAGTTCTGTATTTATAGCCATCAAGTGATCCATTGTATCCGCAAGATCTGGTATTGATTTTGCACATAACTGAATCGGATATTGATTCAGGACAATCAATCATAATAAAACCGTTTTTGTCTCTTGTGCTAGGGAGAAGCAAAATCTTGCCGTTGTTACAATAGCGATAAATGCTTTCATTATGAACCCACTTTGTATTTATGAAACATTTACGTACTGAGCACGAGCAACAAGATTACTTGTCAATCCCATGGGCTAAGAGAACAGTCCTCTGGGGAAGTTGGGTAGCGTTGAGAGTATTTGCAACAATCATAAATGGATATGGCATGACATGTTGACCTAAAATATTAGGTGTTAAGTTAACGAGTCTTTTCCATTTATACACTTCTCCTCCGTCTCAATTATATTTGATATGAGACATTTTTCCGCATCAAACCAAGTTTTTCATGCTTCAAGTCCTAACAAGACAAGTGGTAGATGAGGAATTTACATGAGGTGGTGGTAGTTCCACCAATTCGACTTTGATACACATTTGTCTGAATCAAGTACGGCCCCCTGTTCTGTTCCCCAAGAACTCAAAATCAATCTCGTCTCTTTCTCGTCCTGCTCCGTTCTCTGAACACGTCTGCAACATCAAATCCAGTAATCCACCATCAAGTTCTAAACCCCAGAGAAAATTGCTTTACAACTTATATTCTCAGTTCTCTTCAGTTTGAATATGATGCAGAATTCAAACACTTACGTAGAATTCTGTAACTACACCAGCAGAGTCGCCACCTGCTTACCAGGTTCATTTCATGCTGAACCACCCAACCAAATATGTACCTTTGCTTTGTAGGCGTGGGGGAGAAGGTGGAATCAGAAAGAGAGAGAAAGGAGATGGAGAAAAACAGAGAGATGGGAAAATGAAGGTGGTGGCCCCAAAAGAATGGTTATTTCGCTTCTGTTATGAAATGTAGTATTATAAATTTATAATAAATATAAACCATAGATTACAAATCAATTATCTGAATTTTAGATCAGTTTTATGAACACTACAGATATCATCACCTCAAAATGTGGGGAACTTTCTCTTAAAATGAAATGTTATGCTGCACTCTAGTTTCGTTTAAAGATTTTCACAAACACATATATTTATATATATATATAGGTTAATATAAGGTATTTCAGTTAAAAGAAATAAAATCAGACTATAATACATATATATATATATATATGATTAAAATAGATAACAAAAAATCTACGTAATTATACTAAACTCAGAAAACAAGTGTACTGCCTTGGCTTTATGCATGCATAGAGACCCACGCAACCAATCTAGATTAATAAATGTTTTGATCATAGCAATGCTTGCTATCTTGTCTCCGTGGGTCGCTGCAATGGTTCAAACCGCACGGAACAGGTTCGAGAGTTTGCTACCAAAATGTTTCATTCATAACAAAATATAAAATTTAAGATTGTGTTTGTATGGGTAAATTTAAGTTAAAAATTTAAATTTAAAATTTTATATTTAAAATCTTACATTTAAAATTTATAGATTCTAAATCCTTGTTTGAATGATATAAAAAATTTTAAATTTTAAATTCTACATTTGAATTTAAAAAAAATTTGAAAGATTGGTCAAACTAGATAATTTGAATGGCCAACGATTAGACAAACAAATCAATTGGCATTGTGGCACTGATCACGATCGGGATGAGACCTCCGACTTTCATTGGGACCAAACTAACAAGGACAATTGAGACCGACCAATGCCAACGATTGAGATTGGACGATCAACTTTCATTGAGACTAGACTGATGGTGATGATAAGGATCAGATGGTTGACTTCTACCAGGACTGGACAGTCAGCGATGATGGGGACTGGATGACTGACTTTTACTTGGATCGAACCGACGGTGACAAAGGGGATTGGATTGCCGACTTTCATCGGGACCAAACCGACATGTTTGATCCCTGTCGTCAGTCCAATCTAAGTGGATCTTGTCGTTTGATTCTTGTCATCGGTTAGGTCTTGCTCGTCATTGTTGGTTTAGTGTTGGTGGAATCGACCATCCAATCCCGGTGGTGGCCGTCGGTTCGGTCCGTTAGAAGTTAGCCATCTGATCCTTGTCAACGATGACAGCTTGTTTTTGTAAACTTTGGCAGTTCAGTCTAAATACCGTTAACAAGTTGATTAAGCCTTTATATGAGTCAAAGTACAAAAGAGCTTGATTTAGGATTTGAAATAATAGAAATTTAAAAAGGATTTTAAATTATAAAGAAATTAAGGAAGAATTTGAATTTAAATTTTGATCAAATTCAAATGTATACATTTTTAATTATCCAAACAATGAATTTAGCTCAAATTTAAATTCAAATTCATATGTATCCAAACATAGCATAAAAGTGTTCAATTTGTACCTGTCTCAATTGATCAGGATGGGATCGAACACAAGATTGCCTTCGAGATGTCCCGTCTTAAATATTATATATATACATACATATTATTTTTTATTATTTTTATTTTAAAAATATATATTAAATATATTAATATAATTTATATTTATATTAATTATAATTTCAATATGTGAAAGTTTTATTTAAAATTAAATTTATTTTATATTGATAATTTTAATGATACAAAATAAGCAGTACATGTAATATCTTTTTTTATAATATATTAAATATATTAATATAATTTATGCTTATATCTATTATTATTTAATAACATTTATTTATCTTGTATTTCTTGATTTATTTTCAAAATAATAACTAGCTTAACATATTTCAATTGAAGAAAAAAATAATAATTTGATGTTGTACCCGACTTACTTATTGTTATTACTCTTATAGTATAGAGATCACTTATAATTGGTATCATAATGTGTTATACATTTTATAGTATTGATTGATGTAATTCAATAATTAACTTTAAATTATTATGATTTATGCACTTGTATTGTTTTGATTTTAAATTTAATAAATTATATAATTTAAAATTTTAATAAATGCTATTATCTATATCTTTTTTTTATATTATCTAATTTATTAAGATGGTAGGGCATCCAACTTTTGTCTCGATCCCATCCCAATTTTTAACAGGATGGGACAAAGAACAAAAGTTCAATCCCAATCATTTTTTGAAACAAGACACAGGATAGAAGTGTTTCGGTCCCATCCTGTCTCTTGAACACTTCTAATAAAACTGTTTGATAAGAACATACTATTGAAAAATATATTTAAATATGAGAAATTCTTATGTAAATTAGATACACCACATCATTTGTGATTTATACAATAAAAATATAACATTCAGATATCATTAAATATAAATTAATGCCGATATTACTAATAGTAGAAAGAGAATAAGTAAAAAAAATTAAATATGCATTTTGTTATAAAAATAAAATTAATTAAAATAATGTTAAATAAAATTTAATTTAAGTACTTGGAGCATTTTAATTGTATATGTTACAAATGATATGACTTAGTGTGTATTTAGTTTTCAGTTTACCAAAAGTTAGTTTGTTAAAAGTTTATTTAGTAAAAGTTAGTTTAATAAAAATCAATTATTATATTAAAATTTATGTCTGGATATAATTTTTTTAAAAGTTAGTTTAATAAATTAAAAATTATTTGGATTAATGATAATTTATTCTTTTAAAATATACTTTTAAATATACAATGATAAAAAATGATATTAATTTATGATAATTTTTAATTTTTATTTTACAAATATAATATATTATAAATATTTAAAAATGTAAAAAAATTTAAAATAACATAAAATTTTAGATATTATATAATAAGAATAAAAAATATATAGATAAATATTATCTTATCTCAGAAAGTAACAAAATAAAGCTTCACATTTAGCTTATTCTAAAAAAACTTTTAAAAAATACATTTAATTTTATTAAATTATACCCAAACAACTTTTGACATTCCACGTTCCGAAGTAAAACAGCGCGAAATGTGAAAAGTGCGGTGCCTTACTTGATCAATCTAAAGATTTCTCTTCAAGTATTACTATTGAGAGGATGTCAACATATCGGTTGGTGAGCACTGGAACCGTATGTTACGGATATAAAAATTTTGATAGATATTCTGATTTCAATTAAGGACAGTTTGGCCGAGTGGTCTAAGGCGCCAGATTTAGGCTCTGGTCCGAAAGGGCGTGGGTTCAAATCCCACAGCTGTCACTGTGTTCAAATTTTTTCCCCTTCCTAAGCAACAGCTCTTTCCCGAACCATCAAGATCTTGGTAATTCTCTCCGCAGCATCGCCTAGCACGTTCTTTTTAAATTCTATTTATTTGACAGCCTTTCCTAAGAAACCAAAAGAGAAAAAAAAAAAAAAACTTCTGATTAAAAACACAATTTTTAAAAGAGTTCGAACGAGAAGGTACCTCTTAACGCAAGATCTGAATTAACGTGCTCTGTAAATCCAGTTTCATAAACATGTCTTTCTTAGGTCTGTTCTTGTCTTGAAAGCCATATCCTGTCATCGTCTTTGTCTAAATGGTCTAACGACAAGCCCAATCAAGCCTTCGTATGATCGAGTTTGGTCTTCTTAGTGCACGCATCTTGCTTTTAAGATTGAATGGGATTCTTTATAGATTAGATATATCATACTTAGAAGGGAAAACATGGTCCACCACATGCTTCGTTTAGCCGAGTGAAGGTTGAAGCCTTCTTAGAATTCCAGACACAATAATGGAGACGACTTTCTTTTGTTCTGCTCCTTCAAGGACAATCACAATAAGTTGAGAAGTACTCTGTCATCAATTGAATATCAACTAGAAGTGGTTTGGATCATTGAAGAGAATAGATCTTTGGTAGTAAATTCCCTGATTTTCTTTGATTGAAGAACACCACAAAACCATGGAAGCCTTTAAAAGCATGACAGGTTTATTTCTATCTAATTTTTAAAATTTTTATCCCTAACCTAGCTTTTTTTCATAAGAAAAGGATACACGCACATAAGTGTGTTAACATTGAGTTATCATTAAAATAACTGACCGTTGACTTTTTTATTT